AAGTCACATCGCCGCAGGCAAAGATGGGCTGACAAATCATACAAGAAGTCTCACCTTGGTAACGAATGGAAGAAACCATTCGCTGGTTCTTCTCACGCTAAAGGCATCGTCCTTGAGAAAATGTAAACCCTAAATCCCCAAATTCGTCTATTCATTTCTCAATTCCAAAACCTAAACTTTCTCCATTTTGACAGTGGTATTGAAGCTAAGCAGCCTAACTCTGCTATCAGAAAGTGTGCCAGAGTTCAACTCATCAAGAATGGAAAGAAGATTGCTGCTTTCGTCCCCAATGATGGTTGCTTGAACTACATTGAAGAAAACGTTTGTACCCAATTGTGTTCTTTCAATTTCACACTTTGTCAATTCTTTCATGATGTGTATAATTTGTGATTGTTTGTTTGACAGGATGAAGTTTTGATTGCTGGATTTGGACGTAAGGGACATGCTGTGGGAGATATTCCTGGAGTTAGGTTCAAGGTGGTGAAGGTTTCTGGGGTTTCACTTTTGGCCCTTTTCAAGGAGAAGAAGGAGAAGCCAAGATCTTAAGTGTTACTTCAGAGGAGGTTTTACTGGTGGCTTTTGTCTTAGTTTTGATATGTTTGTTGAAGAGTTCAAATGGAATTGTGGTTTTAGATTTGTGTTTGCAGAGGGCAGACGATTTGTTCTTGTTTTGTAATGTGATTTTGGTAAACACAATTTATTTAGATAACTGTTTTCGCCTACTTTATATTCTTTCTATTTGTTAATGTGTTTGCATTGTTTATTTATGTACTCGATGTGGTTCTTTAATGACAATCACTTTGGAAAAAGTTGTTTTTTCTAAGAAAATTACTTCAAATGCTCTATAAAGCTAAACATGTAAGACTGTGGGGAGTGGGTGTGGTCTTACCGCACCATAGCCACCGTTTCAAGGTGGAACACAGCCTTTGACCGTGGTTTTACTGCATGTGGTAGATGCAAGCCGGTGGTCTCTCTCTTCTACTTTCTCTTCTTCTACTTTCTCTTCTTCCAACATTCAATGGTCTTATTTTATTTTCCTTTTTTTGTCTCCTATAAAAAAAAAAACCTCACAACTCCTATGTCTACAAACATAAATCCAATTATTATATCTTTCTATATCAATTTTTCTCTAAATCACTAGAAAATGTTTTAATCTTCGTCTTTTGAAAAATTTCAGCCTATTCTTGATGTTGTTGGTGCTGTTAAAATAGCGGAGCAAACGCATAACGTTTTACGCAACGATGAAGCCACAAGTGTGGAACGGAGAACACGAAAATATCAGAGAGATCGTGAAGCAACCCAACAACACTTGCAGCAAGACTATTTTGATGAGAATGTCACTTTTCAAGGGTACTACTTTCAGAGACGTTTCAGAATGTTCAGACGTTTAAACGAACGCATTTCATCAATTAGCATATGGCATCCCTCCTGATGTGTTGGACGAGAGGTTAAAGATGTCCGCTAGGACCGCACGAGATAGTCTACATTATTTTTGCAAGTATGTGATTAGGATTTATGGTCGAAAATATTTACGTAAGCCTACATGCAATGACATCTTACAATTGCAAGCTCATCATGCTAGCATGCATGGCTTTCCTAGAATGATAGGAAGTTTAGATTGTCTACATTGGCCATGAGAAAATTGTCCTACCTCATACCATGGTTAATTTACCCGATGTGATCATGGTCAACTGACTGTCATACTTGAAGCGGTGGCTTCATAGGATACGTAGATTGGGCATGCTTTTTTTTGTTCCCCCGGTTCGCTTAACGACATCAACGTTTTTAATCGTTCACCTATATTCAACAACATATATGACAGCTCTACACCAGATTATTCATTTCAAGTGCATGAAATGTCATATAAGTATGATTATTATCTTGTTGATGAGATCTATCCCGAGTATGTTGTGTTTGTTAAATCATTTTTATGTCCACATGATTCTAGGCGTAAAAGTTTCAAGAGAGCTCAAGAAAGAGCTAGGAAGGATGTCGAGCGGGCCTTTGGAGCTTTTAAGAAACGTTGGTACATACTGAAAAAACCAACAATTTTTCCAGCGAGGGAAAACTTGAAGAAGTCATGTACGCATGTATCATATTGCATAATATAATTATTGAAGATGAAGGAAGAGCGATATGTGAGTATTACAAGCATGGAACCATCCCCGAGACAACCAATAGAAATTGGTGGCGACGAATACATGGATGGAAGAACAGTGATACGTAGCACTGAAATATTTCATAATCTTCGCATGGACATGATGAAATACATCTACGGGATTCAACACATTAACCTCAATTTGGATCCATCAGATGGCTCGGAAGATGAGTTCTTGGATGAAGAGTTCATGTAGTATGTTTTATTTTAATCTTAGTATTTATTTTTCTTATTTGATGTGTGCCTTTTTAAGTTTATAAATTTATTTCTAGTTTTTTTTTTCTAAATGTGTAGGATTTTTTTAAATTTTGATGTTATGTTTTTTTTTGAAGTAATGGTATGTTTTATGTTTTTTTTTATTAAAAATGAATTTTTTTATTTAAATTAAAGTGTTAAAAAAAAGTGACACCACTCCATGAGTGTGGCAAGGAACCACACTTTTGTGGTAAAATCTAACATGACGCTTACATGGTAGTGGAGGGAGTGTGGTAAGAGTGGCACCACTCCCTCCAGCCTAAGAACCCATTCAGGTTTTCTTGAGTTATCATCAAAAAATAAATCTTGTATGTGGGCAAAAAGACTTGTTCGGGTATTTCATGGATGTACCAAGTTTTGTAGTGGTTTCAATTCTACGTGGTTAAGGGAGTGTTTGGTAGCATTTATATGATGTAGAAACCTGGATGATGAAGATGATCTTTATGAATCTGTATCTAAACGATAAATTGATGTTTGTTTAGGTATCTGAATGTCTGCCTCTTAATTAAGAAAATAACCCTTTTAACCCTCTAAACTATTTTTTATATACAAATTAAACATCATAAAACATCCAAATTAGACATCATACAACATCCAAGTTTGTTATATACGGATCCTTATAGCACACTATAACAATTTTATAACAGTATCTCCCAATAAATCACAACACATATTTCTCAAAAAAGAAAAAAGATTTTCCAGCAAACACAAACACATCCTCTCGGTGGTATTAACATGTGGAGACATCAAATCCCTAAATACTTCACCATTTCTTTCCATCTAAATCACACTCTCACAACACTTGCTCCCCTTAGAAACTGCACAAACATACACCAACTTAACCAAATGGTCAAAATTCAATTTGATACAAACCACAAAAAAAAAAAAGAGAATCAAGAACACCATCGAAACACCAATTTCATACAAAAATCGAGCAACAATAACACAATTCAAACATCAATTTCGAGCAAAAAATAAAAAAAATTAAAAAAAACTTACCAGCAAAATGGGAGGATGTGAGGGGGGAGATGACGAAGGCGGAAACGGAGCAACGTTGCCGGAGGCTAGCAGGAGGCATGGCGATGAAGCCAAAGGCTAGCAGGGAAGCTACCGACGCCTGAAGAAGAGGGAGAATAAGGAAGGAGTGCTCGATGTACAGAAAAAGGGGGAAAGAAAAAAAAAGGTGGATGTGTTTTTAGGGTAAGGGTACCAGATAGAATTTATTTCATCTATACTCCTCAATATCTCTTTCTGATTCATTTCATCTATACTCCTCAATATCTCTTTCTGATTCAGACCATTTTTTGCTACATCTGACCGATTAAGAGGCTAAAAAGGTTTCAACCAAACACTCTGAATTTGAACAATCAGAGTCAGTCTCTTTATGGGATCATTAAGAGGCCAAAAGGCTTAATTGGGTCATACATACTTAATGGAATTTAACATATATAATGTGTATGAATGTGTTTTACATCAAAAATCTGCTTAAAATGTTTCAATGCCCATCATGTGTGGATAAATTGTATAATATTTTGGATGTGTCTTGGATGTAACTTTGGATCTCTACGTGGAATTCTGCACCTCAATCATCATATTCCAGAGGGTCCAACGAACTATGAGGCCAAAGGGTCCTCAATCAGACCGGACTGGAGGGTCCAACGAGCTAGACCGGACCAGAGAGTCCAACGAGCTACAGGAATGGAGGGTCCCGCTGAGACACATAGACCTGAGGGTCTTACAGAGTATAGCCTCGAGTGGCGAATGTGTTGTATGTGGTATTTTGGAGAACTCACTAAGCATTCGTGCTTACCGTGTTATGTGTTTCAGGTCCATGTAGGGAAGTAGGGGTGTTCAATTGTTCATGGAGGGTTAAACGAACCAAAATCGTATTTTAAAGGTTAACCGATACAATCGGTTCACTAATTTCTTGAACATAGAACTACGATAAAAAAAAAAAAGGTTAACCGGTTTTTGGTTAAGGATAATCTTCCATTAATGATGCTGATAATTATGATTTCTTAATCAATTTTTTCTACTAGAAATTAAATGTCATTTTATTTCTACTAATATCTATAAAATAATGACACGACAAATCCTAATTCTCTATTTTTATTTGACACCAAAATTAAACGGATACAAAATGTGAACCAGCATATTTCGTAAATGATAAAACCAATGAAACTTAATTAATGAAATTTCGGTTTTTCCAAACCGGTTTCAATTCGATCCATAAGTGTTTTATAGGATGGATCGGATATAATGAAATCAATTAAAACAATAATGAATTCATCATTCCATGGAATTCAATTTTCAATCAAGTCAGCAATCAAACCCACCTCCAAAATCAGTCAACAGGAATAAGCGATTTCATTCAATCATTTTCTAAAAACGAAACATATTGATAAAATTTAATACCTCATACCAATCCTAAGGTGTAATAATCCATATCCATACTACCAAATACAAAATCCAACAGGAAGATATTACTTTTTACTTAAAAAATTACACTACTTCATAACCTCTCTTGTTAAAACCTTCAGGCTACCTAATTATATATACCTAAAAGTACATTATATTACCTTAATCATCAAACATTCTTTTTCTTTCCCTTTCTTGTATAAATTTTCCTTGGTGTTGGTGAATAATCAAGTCTGTAACTAATAAGAGAAGGTCCAAAAATACCAAACTTTCCAGCACTACTAAAAGCAGCTTCTGCATTTGTTTTTTCCTCAAACACAACTTTAGCACAACTACTCTTCTTCAACACTTCAGTCTCTGATTCCATCAAACTCCCATACACCCTAAATATCTCATTCAGATTTGTCACCGATGGAATGGAATCCAAATTTGTAAACTTTAGAATCAGTGCAGCAAACTTCTCTTTGTTTGTAGTTTTCAGACTCGAATCACTTATCTCAGATTTGGTTGACACATCATCAGACTTTGTTGACTCCTGAGTTTGGTCAACACGCTTCTCATCAATAGAATTGGAATTGGAATTGGAATTGGAATCCTTTGGTACCTGGGACTGGAATTGGGATTCCGATTCCGATTCAGATTCCTTCTTGGGAATGGGAATCAAAGGCGACAATGATAGTTTTTTAGCAATTCTACAGATGCTGTCACCAACCCCAAAGAGTCTTTTTGGTGTTGGAATCGGAATTGGAATTGATGGCTTTCTATCTGCAATTCCATTCCGACTTTTGTTGCCACCATCTTTTGTCAGTTTCTTTTTTGGGATCATATCAGTATCACCATTACCATTACGCATGTGTTTGTGTTTGTGTTTCTGTGAATTCACACTATCAGAACCATTTAACTTTCTTTTTTTAGAAACTTTCTCTTCACTTACAGAAGCTGGTTTTTGTTTTTCATCTTTAACAATCTTCTTATCTTTCAACTTCCTTTTTTTAGATGAAACCTTTTCATCTGAAGAAGATGGTTTTGCAATTATAGGAATCTCAGAACACTTCTCTTCTAATTTCTCATCTAATCCATCTAAAAAATAGCGTGTAGAAAATTGATGATACCCTTTCCAACGATAGTATGAGAATAACTGAGTATTAAGTGACAAAACCTGTAATTTGTTGAATCCATCGAACTGTTCTCTAGCTAAATCTTGCACAGATTGAACAACATTAGCAGGTTTGAAAGTGGCAACAGTAGAAAAGCGATCACCACCATCGATTCTACTATCTTCTTTCTTAATTCCAGCATTAACAAATGTTTGGGATTTGATTTTATCATGTACCTCTTTGGACAAGCAAGAACAGGATAATCCAAACTCGATTCGCCTCAAAGCTTCATCCAAAGCACAATCAACAGCATGAAAAAACTTTGTGCTATTACTTTGTTTCTCCATTTTTGAGAAATTCTTCCTATATGGCTTGATTTTTGACTTCTCATTCCAAGCAAAACTTTGGTCACCAAAATATGCTATGAGAAACCCTTTTTTGTTTGAGTATTTCCTTGCCACATCTGTTGAAGAAGATGGATCAAATATCTGTCCAGGCCACCATGGATAGTTCCTTACCTTTGCCCAAACCAGATCGGAGACCTTATACTCACCTTCCTTTTCGTCATGATTAACTTCTTCTTCTTCTTCCTTTTCCTTTTCCTCGTGATTAACTTCTTTTTCTTCCTTTTCCTCATGATTAACTTCTTCTTCTTCCTTTTCATCTACAGTTTTCTCAACATTCTCTCTTTCATCTCGAGAAACCCTAGCATCATTAACCGAATCATGAGCAACAGTACCACCTCCATCATGATCAGAAGACGGTTTCGTCGTTAGGGTTCCAGTATTCGATTCTAACAATTCATCCCCAACCCCAACCGCAACGTTAACCTCGTTACTTAACGCGGCATCACTGTTACTCGGAAGTTCAGCTGAAACAACAGCATCGGAACTCGATTCAATGGTATCAAGGTTCGTAGACATTAATTGACAATAACCTAAAAATCATAAAATGAACGATAAATCTAAAATGAACTTATCAAAGAATCAATCATAAGAAAAAGCTAGCAAGTAGTGTGTGTCAATAGCTGATAATAGTTGCGATTAAGCATACCTGGTGTGAATCGACGCGCGAAAATCTTCGTTGACAGAGCGAGAGAGAACAGAGGGGTAGGGCTGCATCCACATTCAACAGTGGAGACTTTTGGACATGGCATTTAAATCAAAAATATTTTCGGACAAAATTAAATAGTGCATTTGAGTAACTATTTTTATTTTTATTTTAAGTATACCGTTGGTTAATATTCAAAGTGTTATTTAAACAGCTTCGTAAATAAAATTTTTTATTGATATCTCGTAATAAACTAATAATTAATCAAATATGTTTGAAATTTTTTATTGAGAAATAACAGATTAATACAATATTATGACAACTTATTTAAAAAACGTTTATGAGCTTTTGTGCATGATGGGTATTAAAAATTTAAAAGCATATTAATAAATTTGCAACAAGTTAAAGCTAAGACATAGTTGTAAAGATGCAAAGAAAACTCTTTTTCCCAAAACAATGTTTACGTGATTTAGAAAGTGGGTTGAAACTAGTGTTATTTGATTTTATTAAAGGGAAAATGATGCAGAAGCTCTATTATGTATTTCGATTTTATTCTTTCGGTTCTTAAAGTTTATTTTCGTATCTTTTAAGTTTTAAGCTAACAAAATGGTTTTTGTCGGCTCGATTTGGTCACTTTTGACAAAATGAAGGGGAAGTCCGGTTATCCCTTTGATACATACAGTGGCGGAGCTACCCTTTGGTAAGTGGGGTGTATGCACTTCAGGTTGGCTCACCTTATATATATATATATATATATATATATATATATATATATATATATATATATATATATATATATATATATATATATATATATTCTATTTTATACTCATATATCTTCAATGTCCCCACTTAATAAAAGAGTGTCACCTCTTATTCTTTCTTCTATACCATAAAAAACAAATTTCTTCTTTTTTTAAGATATCCTAACTACCTGCTTCCACAACTACCGACTTGCACACCAAGAAAGGTAGCTTGAGACACAATCGGCCAGTCGTCGGAAGTCGCTCGCATCGGCCGGAAACGATATAGTGGACCCCGGATAACTTTCAGTCTGGATTCGCCACTGGACATATAGACATTGACTTTAATTTTGGTTCATAGTCATTGATTTTCTATATTTATATTAATTATTTTTCACTTTAGAAATAAAAAATAAAAAATATATGTGTAACATCCCGAAATGAGGTACAATTATCATTCTTGAATCTTTCCTTTTTATGTCAAAATCAGTCCCTTAATATTATAGGTTGGCAAGTCAGTACGCGCAGCGTACTCATGCACCATGCAAATCGTGGAGGTCACCTAGTACGTTGGGCGTGCCAAAGGGTACGCTAGGCGTACTATGCTCGGATGCAAAACCCTAATATTTTCTTTGGTCCCTATATAAAGAACATTATGGTCTCATTTCTAGCCACCCTTATCAGCCTCCGACCCTCTCTAAAACCCTAATTTCGTGTGTAGCTTGAGTGTGTGTTTTTTCAAGTTTTGAGTGGTTCTTGACTCTTGTAAAAGAAGAAGAAGGTTATAGAAGAAGAAGAAGGTATCATCCAGCTTCGAGATCCAGAAACTCCCCACCTTTGTGCATCATTTTCAGGTATAAAGTTTATACCTTGGCTAGTGTTCTTCTAGATCTCTTTAGTGTAAGATTCATGATTTTAAGTCCCCAAGTTTGGACCTTTCGAATATTGAGACTCTCCAAAGAGTTTAAGATGTCCTTTCATATATCTTAAGGCACCTAGGTTGATAAAAATGCTTGCTTGATCTTTCTTTTGACCTCATGCATGAGTAAAGTACTTTAAAATGGGTGAAATGGCGTTTTAGCCTCTCCTAGACATGAAAAGGCTTAAAGCCCACGACTTTATGGATTAAGAGCTCTTAAATTAGTCAGATCTATGGATGGAATGGTTGTCTTAACGGATTAAGACCCCAAAAGTGAGGAAATGGAAGTCTGTGGAGTACGTTGTGCGTACTCACAGCGACACGCAACATAGTCTGGAGGATCCCCGTCGAGTGCTTAGTCTGATGGTACGCCCATCGTACTCTCTGGGTGTTGACTTTCTATTGACTTTTGCTGACTTTGACTTTTAGTCAAAGTTTAGGGTTTTGGACCTACGGAGGGGCAAATTGGTCCTTTTTTGCCCCTAGAAGGATTAACTGTGGACCTTGGACTCGTGAGTGGTTTGGACCTTAATTTTAATTAAGGTTAATTATTTTGTTAGCTAAGCGGAGTTTAGATGCGACAGTTCGGGTGCTAGGTTTTCGTGTCATCAGTACCAGGTGAGTCTCCTCACTTACTCTTACCTGCGTGGTATGATAAGACCAGTTGGGTCTAGCTGTTATGTTATGTTATGCTATGTTATGTTATGTGTTGATATGATGTTTGTTGTAATTGGGGTTGCTGATAGCCAACCGAGGGTTGTAGATAACCTCCCAAGCATGCTGTTAGCTCACCGGGACTGCTGATAGTCCCAAGGTTATTGATAACCCATAGCTATTTATTTTACGTTGTGATGTATGTGGTATATTGGGGGAACCCGCTAAGCTTTGTGCTTACAGTTGTTGATTTGTATGTAGCAGGTACTTCGCAGGACCGCGGGAAGGCGAAGGTCTGATTGTACACATGCAGTGGGAATTTATTACTGGGACATGATCTTTTGTACTCTGATAACTATGACACTTATGTTTTGAAATGATTTGTAATTGATCTTGTTGCAAAACTCTGTTTTTGGAAGTTTTAAAATTTGAAAATTTTGGTCTAAATTTTGAGGTGTTACAATTTGGTATCAAAGCCCCATTTTGAGGGATTTTGATGAACCTTTGGGTGATTCCAAACTCAAACCGAGGGTTTGAACATTTTAAAGAATTTAACAAGGAATGAAGACTTTTTATAAAAGGAAAACCCAGAGAAGCAGTGTGTACAATCGACCAGTGCTCGAGCGGCAGTTTCACAAAATACCTCATTGTTATCTTTAGTATTGCAGAGCAGAAATAGCGTATTATGAGCAATTAGGATTGCATGCTAGCTAGGTGTAGGCTAAGGAATTTTGTTGAAACAGTATAAATGATGCCTTAGCCTAGGAATTCATTCCTTATGAAATTGAACTTGCCATAATTATTTGTTTGGCGTATGCTTTATAGTTATACATAATTAGGATTTTATAGCCTTAGAATGGCTAATTTAGCCTTTCTGTTTGTTCCTTGTTTGGTTGTGGGTTTGAGGTAGGATCATTTATTCCAATGTCTATCGAGTCTCGTACTATGTACAATTGGCATACGCGAGGCAAATGGCGAGGGTAGCGGAGAGCCCGTAAGGTAGAGCAGTGCTGGGAGTGGTCTAGAACTAGTATCTAGATGTATATTGAGGTTCTCAGGAACCATTAGGGCAGGTCCATAGCTGTAACACCGTAAATTTTTAAACAAATTTTTCATTTTAAAAATCACATAATTATCATAAAAACAGTTCACAAATCCCCAAAATGACAATTTATCAAAAACACATATTCATAAATTGTTTAAACAAAATCCAGGATCCTCAAAACATAACTTCGTCTCGTGTGTACAATCAAGCTGGCGCCTTCCCGTGATCTTGAGAAGTACCTGAAACACATAACACATAACACGGTAAGCACGAAGCTTAGTGAGTTCCCCAAAATACCACACACATCATGTTAGCATCTCATGGCTATATCTCGAATATGACCCTCCGGTCAATGTGTCTCAGTGGAACCCTCCGGTCCCACAACTCGCATGGACCCTCCGGTCCTAACTCAGTAAAACTCAGAATAATACACAGCATAAATCACAAATACATAATGCTGGATATCACAATACTTAATAATAGCATACAAGACCCTCCGGTCATACAAAGATTACCACTCTAGGTAAGTATAGTGAGAAGACTCACCTCGTAAGCAAGCAAATAAACCTCGTACACGAATCACCGGTCTAGTCTCCGCCTAACACATACAATAACTATATCTAATTAATAAACGACCCTCAAATAAGCTAGGTTAAACCCTATACAAATTCACAGAAGGATAAAAGACCATTTTACCTTTCCATGGCCTCTATAGCCCATAATTTGACCAAACCCCTAAAAGTCAACAAAAGTCAACTGCAGCGCGTACATTGGGTGTACTACCTCGCCATGCATGCATCGGGGATCCTTGACCCTACGTTGCATGTACTGGGATTACGCTCGACGTACGTCCCAGACTTCTTCTTTTTTACTCTCTTGGTATTAATTCGTTAAGACCATAGCTCTACTCTCAGATCTGGACTTCCTAAAGGCTCATACTCCATAAAGTTCGTGACTTTAAGCCTTTGCATGGCTGAGAAAGTCCCAAACCCAAAAACTCTCACTCTTTTCTCCCAAAAATGCTCATATCTCATGCATGGGGTGGTTTTGACGTCCAAAACTCCATTTTTATGAATCCGCTCCATTAAAAACACTCAAAGGGACAGATATTAGGCTCTGGAGTTCAACAACTCATAAAGCTTCAAGCTTTGGGACCAAAAACCATAAAATGGACCATATTATGCACAAATCAAAAAGGATGAGAAAGCTTTGAGCTTTATACCTTCAACTGATGCTCCAACCACAGAAAAGCTCAGATCCAAAGCCTAGACTGCAACTCTATTCTCTTCAATGCTCCTTCTTCACTGCAAGGATACCAGAAGAACACTTAGAAGCTCACAAATGGACACTCAAGCTCAAGGGACGAAAATTAGGGTTTTGAGAGGGTTGAGGGCTGGAAATGGTGGCCAGAAATGAGGCCATCATGTTGCTTAAATAGGGACACACCCCACAATTAGGGTTTTCACTCTGAGCCTAGTACACCCAGCGTACTAGGTGGCTTTTGCGTCCAAATCACGCACATGAGTTTGTTGAGCATACACACGTGTACACCCCACGTACTCAACTACCACCTTTACTCAAATAAAGGGCCAAACTTGACAATTACAACTAAATAAGGGTTTATAAGTTATACATGGTATTGGGATGTTACAATAGCTGTCATGAGGAGGTATAGTTCTTGGGGTCTAGAGGTTGGGACCCGAGATGAATACGGATTGGTGTGGAAGGTAGTATTGGCCTCGTACTACTGAAAGCACCAGATTCGTACGTGGCTCAGGAAATAACCTTAGGGGACTAGAGAGCCTATAGGGGTGTAAGAGTTGATATATGTGTTAAGGTTGTGTTGATGATTTTCTTATGCATTTCAGTATGGTGGTTACTCGAGGTTCAGGCTCCAGCGACCCTGAGAGGTCGAGTGCCAGTGATAGTGAGATTTGTAGGATGATTGTCGCGGAGGTGGCCACAACAATCCGAGAGGCTATTCCATAGATGTTTGGGTCTATCAAGACCACGATGATTGAGACCTTTGATGAGCGTTATGCCGTTGTCTCTGAGGCTGTCGTTGCCGCAGCCACAACAGCTTTTGCTGTTGCGAGACCATAGGGGGTGATTCGTTGTGGTACATGGAGTTCACCAACATGAAGCCACCCGAGTTTGATGGGACCTAGGATCCGTTTTCCGCAATGAGATGGATCTCTGATGTCGAGGGATGTTTCTATACCTGCTCCTATCCGGAGAATTTGAGGTTTCGGTTCGCTTTGAACCTGCTTCGCGTGGGGCCGAAGTGCTCTGAATAAAAGTATATTTAAAAAATATAACAATATTTTATAAAAGTATACATACATGCTTATACATATATACATACTAGAACAAGTATCACAAGAAGAACGAAACAGAAGTATTTAAAGGTTGGACACTGCGGTCAAACTTGGACAGTTATGTAATCATATCTGGTATCAATATAGCCTGATCAACTATATTCATTTGAGATATGACCAACATGTGTTTGGAAGTGATGTGGTGTTGCAACAGTCTTAAAACTTACCTAACTCTATATACGAAGGATTTCTAGATCAGAACATAAAGTTAAAATACTATAGGAGTATTTTATGATACTATAAGACAACAACAAGTTTAAAACATACCAAGTTCA